CTAATATATAAAACAGTACTTATTTATTACTAAATTTAAACCTTAAAGTTTTTATATCTCACTTTTTACTAACCAAAGGCAATGTAAAATTTGTTAAAAAAAAAAAATGAGAATTACACAAGATTGTAAGTAGTATGGTCAGTTGGCAACACATTTATTTCTTATCATTTTATATTAGATTTTTTGAGAACATTAATAAAAAAGCAATTTTCCATAATTTCTTGATTTTATCATATATAATTTGCTTTTGATCAAATTAAAAAGGAATTAATCTTTTAAATACCTTCAAACTAACCTAAATGATAACTTGATAGTTAAATAAAATAACAAACCTAATAGCATTGGATCATGCAGGAGTCAAAGAATTAGATTTTCTTTTAGGATGCGTTTGATTCATTATTTTTACAAAAGAAACCAAACCGAATATTTTGACTTGACTTAAAAATCATAGTACAAAATTTAATATAGATATAAATCATTAGAACCAATTATAACATAAAGTCTATTAGGATATTGTTTTCAACCAAAAATTTTCTTAATTTTTCTAGATATTTTTTTCCAAAAAAAAGTAATGAATCAGAAATAAATATTAAATGCACCCTTAAGTAAAATAAGAAGTTCCACTTCTTAATAATTTTTTTTTTTTTTAAAGTTGATAGGATATTTACTTCGAACCAAACAGTCCCTTTTAACAGTAAAAACATGCGAAGCTACAAGAGCATGTCCGTTACCGGCAAAAACTTATTTTGTGCCACTTATCTTATCAAATTTAAAGGTTTTAATTCATCATTTTATATTATAACACTTTTAACTCTTTATTTTACTAGATTTGTAAGTTTTAGTCCCTTACCTTATACTATAACATTTTGAACCCCTTACCTATTAAAATGGAAGAAAGTAACATTGACTTTATAACATTTTATTAGTTCTGTTAGTTGACTGTTAATTCAGTTAACTGATTGTCAATTCAGTTAACTGATTGTCAATTCTATTAACTAATTATCAGTTGACTAACTGATAAAAATCTTCTTTCAGTTAATAAAATTAACAAAATTAATTTTATAATATTTCATTAATTCTGTTAACTGACTATTAGTTGATAAAAACTTACTTTTAGCTAAAAAAATTAACAGTTAGTATAAAATGAGAGTTTTTTTTATTTAAATAGATAAATGACTAAAATTTATAAATTTAATAAAATAAAGGGTTAACACCTTTAAATTTAATAAAATAAAAGACTCAAACTGAGTTTTTGCCTCCGTTACCACCCTTATTAAAAAACCAAAACGAAAATTTTAAACAAGGATGAGGGTACAATAGTCTTTTCTAGAAGTTAAAAACAAGCCGTTAGGTAATTTTTTGAAAAAAAAAAAATGAATTCAACCAGAAATTATATTATTTGTTTCCCAAAAGTTATATTATATGTCGTCATTCATCATTTGCGGAGGCGGACTTTCTTCTCTCTCTTCTGCATTCCCTCCGACGAAGAATCAAACCGGCGGTGTAATCCGGAGGAATTAGGGTTTCTTCTTTGATTTCTTTGACAGATCCAATCGCGAATTCACGGTTTTCGTTTTGCTGAATTTGCAGAGTCGTAGATCTCGATCGCCACGGCCTTTTTTCCGATCCAATCCGGTGATTCTCTTCTCTTAATGGAGATTTTTTTTTCTTTTTCTGGTGTGACGTAGGTGTCTGGATTTTTGTGAATTTTTAATGAATGAATTGATGAATTTCAGGTATCCGCCGATTTGACGCGCATTTTTGAGAAATTACTTTCATGTTCTGTTCTGGATTCGAATTTTCCCCTCCTTGTGAGTAGTGTATAATGGTTTGATTCACTATATGTTTGTTTTGTGTTTTTGTGTTTGATAATTTTTGGATGGTGTGTGCAGTGTGGACATTTAGATCGTGAAATTGGCTCCGCAAAGGCGATCTCAGCGCCACGTGGGTGGCCAGATGCAGCAGAGCAATGCTGCAGCGACCGCGCTCTATGATCACGCCGGTGGCGGGTCCCTGCATAATGCAGGTCCTTCAAGCGACGCTGGTGATGCTGTAATGGCACGGTGGCTGCAGTCTGCAGGTTTGCAGCATCTGGCCTCCCCTTTGGCTTCCACAGGCATTGATCATCGCCTCCTTCCCAATCTGCTCATGCGGGTATGCTCTGTCCAATTTCTTGTATTTAAACAAGGTTTTAGGTGCCGATTGAAAAAAAAAAAAAAAATCAAGGTTTAGGGTTTTCTTTTTCTTTTTCTTTTTTACTTTTATAGGAGGGAGGGAAGTTCTAGTATATTCCAATCAATTTTGGGTTTATTGTTGATTATCTACTCTTTTTGCTTGATGAGGATGCATGCAATTTGTCCCTGTTGGAAGTTAATTTATTGTCTCAACCATTTGGTTGTTGCACTATTTAGAAATATACAGTTCACAGTTAATGGATCTTTCTTTATCACGGTTTCCTTGAGATTTCTATTTCTTTTTAATGAAAATTTTGGAACCTGAATACTTCCATATGCGGTTTCTTTTCATATTTAGATGAGTTACAACATTGTGAGTAACAAGAATTTTTCTTACATTATTATTAAAGGATTATGGAGCTCAATCTGCTGAAGAGAAGCAGAGGCTGTTCAAATTGATGAGGAACCTCAATTTTAATGGGGAATCTGGATCTGAGCCATTCACCCCAACTGCCCAAAGTTCTGGAGGGGCAGCTACATCTGATGGGTTATATTCTCCAGAGTTTAGGGGAGATTTTGGGGCTGGGCTGTTAGATCTTCATGCCATGGATGATACAGAGCTTTTGTCTGAGGTATGGTTGGAGTTTGGACACATTGCACCTAACTTTGGTGGACAATTTTGTATTGGTTGATCTCTTGAAGTTTAAGCAGTTGTTTTCAACCACTAGTAACTTTTCCTGTACCATGTACTATGTGAAATTCAAAATTGACTACTTATGATGATGGGCATGTCATATTTGATTGCTGTATTTTCACCTTCTTTTGTTTCCAGTTGCCAAGATGCACTTATGTCAAATTTTAGATATGTTTGCTACAAATTATAGGATTTAATATGTAGATTTAAAGGGTGGTTTTATAGAATTTAAACTATTTCAAGATTATATTAGTGTAGTTTTGGATTGATTAGTTGGTGACTGAAAGGTATGGTTCTCTTGTTAGCATGAGTTATTTGCCTTTTCAGGAGAGAAAAGGAATCTTTAACTTGATGGAATCTTAAATCCAATAAGTCAATTTCGGCTTTGGGATTTTTGTGGATTTTTAAGGACATTAGATATTTGTTATAGACTTTTATGTTGTTGGAAAATAATATTCGAAATTTTATTTGGCTTTGCACAAGGTGATTCTATTCCGGTATCATGTTATCATATTCTTTACTCCTTAGTCTCTATTATTTGAATATAAGTTTGCATTGGGATCTATTGTAAAATTTGTTATTTTACTTATCTACATATGTTGTCAGCATGTTATTATTTTCTTTCATTGCACATGGTGATAAGATTACAGTTTATTATTAGGTGGTTTAATTTTTGCATATCATCCCCTTCTTCAGATGGTATTTAACTTAATGCCAAAAGGGGAAAAGTTCCAATATAGAAATGAGATTAAACTGATGAATGATGTTTGGAAATTTTAACATGCCTGTTTATGGAGATGCCCTTGCTTGTTCAAGGATATGGGGTAATGCACATAATACTCTATAACCAACTAAAACATATTATGCCTTTTTTATTCCCTGTTAAGTTTAGCACCTTTCAAAACTTTTCTTGTGATGATATATTAATATGGTCATATTCTCCTTTGCATGTTGTAAATGGATGTTATATGGTCTAAAAAAAGTATTGCAATTTACATTTTATAATAGTTGAAGATATATTTCATATTGTTAATCTTGTGTATGGAATTTTCCTTTCTTAACCTTTCTGATTTCATCTGTTTGCAGCATGTTATCTCAGAGCCCTTTGAACCATCACCTTTCATGCCTGGCATTAGGAAGGAAGATATTGAATTTAGCATGACAACTGGTCTCCAGCAAAAAGAGCTAAATGATGCAGATTCCTCTGTTCCATTGTTCTCTACCACTGAAAAGGACAACAGCACAAGAGAAAACAATGTAGCAAAGATTAAAGTTGTGGTATGTTGGTTTCTGCCCTTGTCCTCATCTCCTGCTTTCCCTAGACTCATGAGAGCACCTTTTTCTTCAATATTGCTGTATGTACACAGGAAAGTACCTATCTAGGTGTGATTTGAATGATTATGAATTAAAATATTATTTCCCTTATCAACTGTTGAGGAAGAAGATATTATTATTTATGGTTATGAAATATCTATTGCTACTCTTTTATCAATATGATACTGCAATAGACATCTTTATTGTATTTGATGTCTATTTACATGTGACTAATAATTTTGTCTAAGCAATAAATCTTCTTTGTATCAGAGAGGGGCTAAGAGAGTACCTTGAACTCCTCTGATGACAAGCATTGAGCCCAAAACAACTTAATGACTTGAACATGCATGAAAAGTCATTTTTTTCTGAGAAACGGTTTTAATGTGAATGCTTTTGGTCCATGAGCACCGATGATTTATGTGATTATAAATTAGTAATGAATGAGCACTGCTATAACAATGGTTTGAATAGTAGAAATTGGAAATAGGTTTCTTTTCATGTGACTTTAGTATCCAACTATCCATTTAAGTCTTTACTTGGATTTCTACTGTTTGGTCTCTCATTGCTCAACTGGAGTCACTTGATGGTTATACATTTGTTCATAATTTGACATGTCCTTTCCTTTTCAAATTTCAGGAAAGCTAATTGTTTTATCTTATATCTTTTCTAAGGTACGTAAAAGACCCTTAAACAAGAAGGAGCTTGCCCGGAAGGAGGATGATATTGTAACAGTCTCTGACAATTCGTTAACTGTTCATGAACCCAAGCTGAAGGTTTGTGTTCTCTATTTTGCAGGAACTACACAAATTGGCTTCTTTTTGTTTGAAGTACTTGATACTGGCTTGATATTTAGTCATCTTATCATTCCCTTGCTTTCATCTAGTTGAAAGTCTAATCTTTGGTTTTGATATGAAAGGTGGACTTGACAGCATATGTCGAGAAGCATGAGTTCTGCTTTGATGCTGTCCTGGATGAGCATGTTACTAATGATGAGGTAATAATTGTATGGTGATTTAAGTTAATTCATGTTGTCTTATTGCTGATTGAATTGCCATGGGTTTCTACTCCAAATCTCTATTTTTATTCATTTATTAGAATAAAATATAATGCTTTGCATGTTTGATTAAACAGGTATATCGAGTTACTGTGGAGCCAATTATTCCCACCATTTTTCAGCGAACAAAAGCCACATGTTTTGCTTATGGTCAAACAGGTACATGGAGACTGATTTCTCCTTCCCTGATGGCATATACATTTGGAATAAATTAGAGCTTTAAAACAAGCATGCACTGATGCTTCTAAGTTTCTACTCCTTTTATTTCTATTTTTAAACTGTTATTGGTTGAGATCATTGATCTGGTGATGATACCTCGAAACTTAGTGGAAGACATAACAAGGTCAAAGCATCTTGCTGTGCTCTCTTTCAACCCACTCTAGCACATGAGAATTCAGTCTCTCTAATCCTTATATTTCTACCTTCAGTTCCTTGCCCCTTCTGATGGGTGGTTCTGAGTGTTATTCAATTTACATTGATCTTTGCACTTTAGTTTTTTTAGTTTATGAACATCTTTCTTTGCTCTCTCAAACCCACTCATGTTCATGCATGGTCATGTCTCTAAAATCCTTATATTTCTACTTTCAGTTCCTTGACTCTTCTGATTGGTGGTTATGAGTATTAATTCATTTTCCATTGATCTTTGCACTTTAGTTTAGTTTGTGAACACCAGCGATAAATCATATAATCATTTTCTGGCATTGTATCATTGCATCAAGGTATTTGTTTTACTTTATTTGATGCACATAATTCTTTATGGACATCCTGAAAGATTTTAGAAGGGAATGCTGAGAAATGTTTATTTTGGGAACGATGCTACGTCCCATGTACTTGAGATCCTCAGAATCTAAAATATTTTACTAATAAATTTCCTGTTGTACTTTTTGTTTAAGAAACCAGTCTATTGAGTAATGGTGGATAAATAGTCAACTTTTGTTGTCGTTGCATAAATTTGTGTTTGTTTTTAGTATCAGTCAAATCTCAAAATGAATACACATGTATGTGTTTGTCACCTCTATTTTTCCTGTAGTTCTTACATTTCAGCAGAATCTCCTTGTCTTTTCTGTTTATGACTGATGATGATTACCCTTTTTTTCCAGGTAGTGGGAAGACATTCACAATGCAGCCCTTACCTCTCAGGGCTGTTGAAGACCTTCTTAGATTGTTGCATCAACCAGTATATCGTAATCAGAGATTTAAATTGTGGCTTAGCTTTTTTGAAATATATGGTGGAAAACTCTTTGACCTTCTCAGTGATAGAAAGTATGTCTTGTATTTTCTTGGTCTTTTTAATTTCTCTTAATATGGGTCTGATTGATATTTTGATGGACAATGGTTTTGAAATTTTGAAGGTCTTATGACCTTCTGGAATTTCTTATTATGTCAAACGTTTGTTTACTTTACAGACAAGAATCTTTTTGCATATAATATTTACATAGAATCCTGATTCACCTTTTCCTCTAATAGGAAACTTTGTATGAGAGAAGATGGGAGACAACAAGTTTGCATTGTTGGGTTGCAAGAATTTGAAGTTTCAGATGTACAGATTGTCAAGGAATATATTGAGAGGGGCAATGCAGCTAGAAGTACAGGATCTACTGGTGCAAATGAGGAATCTTCCAGGTCACATGCTATTTTACAACTTGCTGTCAAGAAGCACCCTGAGATAAAAGACTCCAAGAGGAATAATGATGGTAATGAGTCCAAGGGAGGGAAAGTTGTGGGAAAGATTTCTTTTATTGATCTTGCTGGGAGTGAAAGAGGTGCAGATACTACTGATAATGACCGGCAGACTAGGTAAAATCCTTTTGTTGATTATTATTTTTAGATAACAAGATTGGTGGAGGATTTCTTTTTCAGATTATATGGGGATAATAATATTATTATTATTATTAAGCTATGAGATCTTGAGTTTGGCATCTTTTCTTCTAAATCTCTTGTTTACTATTGGTTAGTCTGTTAGTGCCACTTGTTAATTGTTGATTGGATGTTTAGGAACTTCTGCCTTCAGATTTAGTATTGGTGTGTGCCATTCGTTAAATGTTCATTGGAGTCTGCTCATGCCTGTGTGCTGGCTGTTAAGATCACAATGAACAAAAAATTCATTCTAGGTAAGAAGTAGGCATGAGGCTTTGTTTATGACTGGGGCTTTTGGATTGAATTCTATATTAGGTCTTTTTATGTTAGGTTACCTTAAAGAGTTTATGTTATTGTGCTTTTACGGTACACCACTCTTTTTTCCGCATGATTTGTTGCTATCTTTTCCTTATCTGATATTGATGTTTGGTTTTGTTGTCAGGATTGAGGGTGCAGAAATAAATAAGAGCCTTTTAGCTCTTAAGGAGTGCATTCGTGCTCTGGACAATGATCAGATCCACATACCATTTCGGGGGAGCAAACTCACAGAAGTGCTTCGTGACTCCTTTGTTGGGAACTCAAAGACAGTTATGATCTCTTGCATTTCTCCCAATGCAGGTTCATGTGAACACACACTTAATACGCTTAGATATGCTGATAGGTATGTGGGCTTGTCCCTAAGTTGAGCCACCAAAACAATTTATCAATCTTATGCTTGTTGGCTAAGAGATAGTTTATCTAAATGAACAGGGTCAAAAGTCTATCTAAAAGTGGGAATGTTAAAAAGGATCAAGTTGTAAGTATGTTGCCACCAAGTAATAGGGATGCTTTGGCAGCATCTTCTTTGCCAGCTTCAGGCAATATAGATGATGTCTCTGAGCAACAGCAAGAGGTGAAAGTAGGGGATATGGGCCGAAGGGTTGTGGAGAAAGATTCTTTCTCTTACAATCCCACAACAGATGTTGACAAACAGTCAAATTTTTCATCAAGTTATCCATTCAGTGGGAGGGAGGAAGGTGGGGTAACTTCTGTCTCAACAGATAAGGAGAGGTTTGAGACAAGCAATAATTCTTATGGTGGCTCCACAAGTCAGAGAGTATCCGCATCCAATTCTCAAAACTTGGTTGATACAGAAGAGAAAGTGCAAAAGGTTTCACCACCTCGTAGAAAAGGATCTAAGGAGGAAAAATTGGAGAAGCCTGGGAATTTGGGTAGAAGGGATGGCAGAGGATCCGATTTATCCACCACAAACTCTAGGCAGCAGAGTTCAGTCAGTAATAACCAAAATAATGTTGGGTATAGACAATATGAAGCTGAACCTCCTGATGGGAACATCAATGAATTACTTGAGGTTGTTCACCTCATCTATGTTATGCTGCTTCTCGTACTTGATTGTATTAGGTGTTTTTTAAGCTTTTTCATACCTTTTTGTTCAATGTTTGTTCTTTTTCTGGATTGTTTCAGGAAGAAGAGGCCTTAATTGCAGCTCATAGAAAAGAAATTGAGGATACCATGGAGATTGTTCGTGAAGTAAGTGTTACTTTTACACCTCTTCCTAGATTTTTTATGCCAAGTACCATATCTGGTCCCAAGTAGTTTGTGTTGTCCTGTTTAGTTGGGCACTTTATCACGAATTAGTTTTAGGTTAGATGCTTTTTTCATGGTATCATAGCATTGGGCCATTTGTTGATCTATTTTCTGGTTCCATTTCAGTTATTCACATCGATTAAGTTTGGCCTTTTTTTTTTTTTTTCTCTGGTCCTTAATGATTCATCAATCAAAGTAGTTTTTACATGAGTGCTTACACATCTCGATATCCCAGGAA